GACGACAGTGGTTTTAAAGGTGATTGAAGAAATGCAGGCGTAGGGGATAGTAGAGGAGAAAGATGGGGTCAAAAGAAATGGAGGCAACAGGGATGTCACATACAATTAGAAATCGAATCGAGATTCTCTTTTTTTGCACTTGGGCGTGCGAGTGTGCGGGCGTGGGTGCGAGAGTTTGTGTGCAGCATGTTGGGCAGGAGGAAGGGGGAGGCACTTCACCAAACGAAAACTACGTTCCAGAAACTCACGGCACATCCAGTAATGCTAAGTCACGCAGACGTCATGCAAAACAGTGCAACTCGGATCACATGACGTTTTCTTTGTCTTTCCAAATAATAATAATAATAAAAAAGATACAACCACTTTTTTTTGTTCATTCCATTGGATGCAACTTACAAGGGGGGCGGAGCTAGGTCTCCCGCGACAGCGAAGGGTGGCTTAGCAACAGAGTCGTCTCAAGATATGTTTGGTACCCTGCCGAGGGAGGTGGGTAGGTGGGTGGGGTTTCAAGCGGCAAAGAAAGAAAATGGGTGTTTGGTTTCTTTTCGGTTTTCTTTTTCTTTGAAAAAAAACTCTTCTCTTTTAATGTTTACATAAGAAAGGAGTGGGGGGGTTTGACATTGATTCAAAAGAAAAACTACTTACACATTAAAAGAGACAAGATGGGAATTTGTTTATTGGACTGTTGTAAAACCCCTATGCAGTCAGATCAGGAAATTTAAAAAGAATAGATAACTTCGGATATGTTGAATTTGCAGTGTCTTTAAACTGCTTGGGGCTTACTGAACGAGATCACAATGAATGCCTGTGCTCGTATTGGATTGGATCTCGTGAATCTGTTCCACTAAGGGGAGACACTTTCCCCCACACGAGAAGACTTCTTCTGATTTGGGAGAGGGCTCCTTGCACCTCATCTTTGAAACAATTTCACTTCTCAGTGGTTTTGCAGACTAAATCCAGCTCTGCCCATCACATGGAACCAACTTATAAGTAATACCCCCCCAGAAACAGTAGTGCTGGCCTGGTGATGTCTTAGCCCCATGCTGAGGTCAGGAGGCCGGGCAGAGAAAGTGCTGGAACATTCTTGTGGCACAAGAATGTTCTAGCACTAAAGGAGCAGAGGCGTGGTTGCTAGTTTCCACAGCAGCCTCTCGTTTTGCACTATCCGTTGTTTCGGCCCTCATTTAGTTCCCGGGAAGTGGTATGGGAATATCTTTCTTTTAAATAACTTTCTTTCAAAATACAAGGTACATACGGGTGCAGGGGGAAGGGGCTCCCGTTTAAGGTAATGGGAGGAGCTCGGGATGGCTTACGTGGCTTTCCTGTCCTACAGTTTATCCTTACAACAGCCCTGTGAGGTAGATTAGGCTTAGAGGGAGCGGCTAGCCAGGTCCATAGCTGAGCAAGATTTGAAACCCAGCCTCCACAGCCCTAGTCTGATACTCTAACTGCTCCACCACGGTGGCTCACTTTGCAAATTGCCGAATGTCGCTCTAGACTATCTTTGGTTACATTACTTATAGCGAGTAGCAGACCCTTCAAGTAAGCAAGGATCACAATTCCATACAGAATGAACAGAATGAAGTCTAAGTCGGATTGTTGCTGAGGTTACAAATCCTCCCTACAACTTTATTCATTCTTTGTATATTATTCTGTGTATGTGTGTGTATGTTTAGGCCATTAAGTCACTACCGACTTATGTGAACCCTATGAATTAATGTCCTCCTAAACGTCCTCTCGTTAGCAGCCATGCTTAGGCCTTGCATATTACTTGCCTACTGAATTTTTTACTATCCAAACCAGTCTGTTACCCCTTTGACACTCAACCCTATTAACTTAAAAGGGAAAAAATACACCAGCAGTTTAGAGGGACCTGCTTTTAAAAATCTTCCTTGTCACCTTGTTCTCTGGGGCAAAAGCTATTAGTAGGTTCTCCTACAATACACTCAATTGAAAATATCCTTTTTGGGGCTGTCACCGTTACCGGGAGTGCGATCTCCCGAGAATCAGATGGAAAACACCCGTGGGTCATTGAAACTCTGTCTCTTTAATGTGCAAAACATTTCCTTGATGAATTTAAACAAGGGGATGTCTATGCTGACCCCCCACAATACACCACCACCACCAAAACCGACAAAAGAAACTTAAAAATAAATAAATGTCACGCCAAGAGAAATTCGCTTCAAACTATAGAGATATATATGAGAAACACGCACACAAGAGAACAAGACGGTTAATCAGAACAAAGGCATGGGACACATCACGCCACGGATGGACACTTACAAATCCCCGCCTCCCTCGTTTCGTGCACACCTCTGCCCTAAAACTGACAAGCCCTAGGGATGGTCCTAAAATTTAGGTGAAGTTGCACATGTGTGGGAACAATATTGAAATATCTGTGTTGAGGAGTGCAGGGGGGACTGAGAGTTTATAGTCTAGATTAGGGATCAGCCACTGGGTACCTCTTGGGCCCCTCGATTGACAACAGGATTCAGGGAGCAGTTTTCTCAGTAGCCCACTTTGGAGCAGGGGTCATTTTGTAGAAAAAGAGCTAGGAGAACTCATTAGCATAACTCATTAGCATATGCCACACACCCTGACATCACCGGAAGTGTGTCATAAGGCCACACCCCCTGACATCACCGGAAGTGTGTCATAAGGCCACACACCCCGCCCCCAACGGTCCCGGCCGGCGGGAGTGCAAGGAAGCCCCGCGAAGGCCCTCCCTGGCCCCAGGCAGGCAGGGGTGGGGAGAGGCAGGGAGGAAGCAACTTACCCTCCCTCTTCTCCTGCCTCCTCCTGGCCGAATGAGGGCCGGAAGCGGGGCGGCTGGAAGCAGGGGGCGGGGCTTCGTCATGTGCCCCGCCCCCAGTACCTCACCCGGGGGAACTGCGATCCCCCGCGATCCCCCCCGAAATGACCTCTGCTTTGGAGGGATATTGACCTACCATCTCCCATACCTAGACCCTGCTAGGGTTGCCAATTCCGGGTTGGAAAATTCTTGGGAGATTTGGGAGTGGAGCCCGGGGAAGGTAGGCTTTGGGGAGGAAGCCGAGCAGGGTGTAAGGCCATAGAGTCTGCCCTCCAAAGCTGCCATTTCCTCCAGGGGAACTGATCTCTGTTGTCTGGAGATCAGTTGTAATTCTGGGACATCGCCAGACCCCCCTTGAAGGCAGGCAAAACAGCCCTGGAGCTGGCCAAGCCATGCGGTCCCTGCAGTACGGGCAGTGCCAAGGGACCAGTTTGAATCAGACTTGAGCCCGCCGAGCAAGATTAAGACACTGGTCGGCATTGGTGCCACAACACTTCCGTGGCCCAGCTTGGTTTAGCTTGCTCCTGGCCACCAGTGACCCCTTCCCCCGGAAACTACTGATTAGGAGCATAAAAAATTTCCCTGCACAGAAATGCCTTTACGCTCAGCTTCTATTCTGAATGGATGCATTTTCTGAACCACCTGTTGACTGCACTGAATGCTCACAACGACCTCTTTTTCTTTTTATAAAGGTTTTACAAGTCTCCCACCCTTCCTGCACAGTTTGGGCTTACCTACGGAGCCCGTAATGATGAATACCTGCTGTTTGTTTGGAAAGCCAATTTGCCTTGAATGACAAAACAAACATGGAAATGTTTCACTCCAATCTCATTTCAAAATTTCACTGAACAAAGTTGTCTTTTTTTGTTGAAAGGGAAGAAGCTGGGAACCTTAAATTACTATCAGGGAACCTTGGTCAGGGGACCTCGATTCGTGCCAGTTATCTAACTCAGTCATTTTCAAGACTTGTGCCCCACGCTATGCAAATTATGGAAATAACTGAAACCTCCTGTGAGCCCAGACAACTCATCCACCAAGGAGGTTGCCTGCTGTGTCTCTGCATGATTCACTTGTTGCTCTGGCTTTCTCTTCTTGCAACCAGCCTCTTTTTGAGGGCAGCAAATTCTGCAACATACGTGCACAAGATTTAATCACTCCCCCTAAAGATGCACAGTAGAACTATCCCCTTCCAAGGAGTCTTTCTGTTAAATCTCTGCGGGAGTCACTGCTGTTGGGTTGCCTAAGTAAGTTCACCCAGAACAGTGTCTCGCCCGGGAATGCAAAGGGATGGGCCCGCTCTGACAGCAGGTAAACACTCCCATGTGCTCTACAAGTAAATCTTGTAGGGCTAAAGAGTAAATGTAGGAAATGCAGAGGTTGGGATGGGTTGAGAATCAATGACCTGGCTGAACCACCTGATATGCCCCATCTTATGAACTGGCATAACAAGAATCACTTTTGAATGAGTTCAGTAGGGGGATAAATGTCCCTCGGATCATATTTCTCTCCTGCCTCTGGGAGGGCACAATTGCAGAGGCTGGCAGGCAATATTCCGTGTGCTCTGGAAGGCGGGAGAGAAAGAGGGCAAGGTTGCTCGTTCTCGTCCATCCAGTTTGGAAAGATCGGTTCTCTGCATCGGTCCCAAATCAGGACAGCGAGTAGCAGAGCGAGCGAAAGAGAGAATGAGAGAGAGCCCTTGAAAACTCTGGGTTGGCTAGTGCCTTGCAGGGCCTTTGCCGTAAACCTCCAGCCCTTCCCTTTTGGGCTGTCTCGTGTCGGGGGGCAATGCCTCTCATCGAAAAGAACAGGTAGATTTGAGTCCATTGGCACCTTGGTGGCCACGATTTGGTCACTGTGGGTATGAGCTTTCAAGAGTCAAAGCTCTGGCGAAGGGAGCTTTAAGTCTGGAAAGCTCACACCCCGAAAATCTCGTTGATCTCTAAGGTGCTAGTGGACTCGAATCCAGTTATTCTGTTACAGACCGACATGGCTGCTCTCCGAAATAATCATCGAAGAGAGATTATCGGGGAAAGGAGGAGCTGATGGGAGCCTTCAAGAAAGTGAGCTGAAGGTGATGACCCCTGTCCTCCAGCTGTCGTGATGCCTCTGGGCATCTCTCTCCCCCTGCTCTTAATGGCTCCAGCTGGGATGCCCTAGCTGCCGCGGTACTCACCTGATGGGCGGCAGTTCAGTAGGGCCGGTTGGCATCTTTGGGCCGCTTCAGCTGGACCTTGAGGCGCTTCATCCCAATCTGGAAGCCGTTCATGGCCTGGATGGCGGCCTGAGCGCTGGCGGGATTGTCGAAACTCACGAAGCCTGAGGGGAGAGGCAAAGGGGGGGGGAGCACCCGCTGAGACCAAACCTGACACAGAGGAGGACCACGGAGGGTGGTTGCAAAATGCAGTTCTCGCGATGCACTGGCGAAGCATTCGTTGCGGAATTATCCTTTCTGAGATGATGCTCTCGTTTTAAAAAAAAAAGTTTAGCCCCCATGGCTACAAAGGTATGCCCCAAAGTAGATCAGCAGTGCCTAGGGTTGCCAACCTCCAGGTGGGAACTCGAGATCTCCCAAAATGACAACTGATCTCCAGACTACAGAGATACATTTCCCTGGATAAAATGGTTGCTTTGGTGGAGAGGGGGCTCTTATAGCATCATAGCCCACTGAATCCCTCCTCTCCCCAAACCCCATCCTCTGCAGGTTCTTCCCCTAAATCTCCAGGAATTTCCCAACCCGGACCTAGCAACCCTAGATACCTGGCTGAGATTTCAGGTGCCAGTGCTAAATAAGAATTTCAGGGGCATAATTTTCATTGCCTTTGCTCCCACAGCTGCAACACCAGAATAAACAATGTCAAATAAATGTATGCAAGACACGGTGGAACCAATGAGGCAAAAGAAAAGAAATGCAGATCTCAACATGCATCATCTGCGAGGAAAATGTAAAAATAAAAGTAGACAAGCTCTTCAAAAGACCCGTTTCCATCACGGCAGCTAGAGAAGACCAGAAATGACAGATGTGGAGCTTCTACAAGCCAGTGAGTGTCAAGCTTCTCTTCAAACCAACAGAGGATGCTCCTCTCGCCTTTTCAGCGCCCCTCAAAATCGGGCACCCTAGGCGGTCACCTAGGTTTGCCTAAGGATTGCAGTGGGAGACCTGCTCCACCCTCTCCTCCCCACTGGCCATCCATACCGAAACATTTGCTCTGATTGGTAGCCCGGTCCACAAAGACTTTGGCAGAGATGACATTCCCAAAGGGGAGGAACATCTGGAGGATCTCGGAATCCGTAAACTCCTGCGGCAGGTGGTAGATGAATATGTTACAGCCCTCGGGACCTGGGAACGGACAGCGAGTGGCAGTATGAAACCAGGGAAAGAAGATGGAGGAGCAGGTAAGGAGGGAGAGAGAGAGAGAATTACCAGTTAGCAAGACACTGGACCCTAAGGATAGCAGAGCCGAAATTTCGCCGAGACTTTTTCGGCTCCCCTCAAAATTCTTTGGATGTTTCGGCACAGTGAAAAGCCTCCCAGTACACCCTAGCTGTTCCTTAAGGCAAAATGTGACAGCAGCTCAGTTCGAACCCTGGCCCCATGAGTCACTCGAGGACCCGTCTCCCCCCAACTGACCGGAGAGAGCTCTACACTCGGACTACCCTGCAATCCCTGCTCGGTGGATGCGCCTCCCACAAGTACACCACCCACTTAGTGCCTCTAAATGTGGAGGCTTCTCTCAGTCACCAAGGCTAGTAGCTTCCCTAAAGCTGGCTCCCCAGGACCCAGGGATAAGTCTGGTCAATTGGCTCTACAGGTGCTGGGATTCGTAACCCACCCAACCAATTCCTCCATTCATTCCTGCCTGCAGCTTTTGAGAGCCAGTTTGGTATAGTGGTTAGGAGTCCGGACTCTAATCTGGGAGAACTGAGTTTGATTCCCCACTCCTCCACATGGAGCTGCTGGTGTGACCTTGGGTCAGTTACAAGTTCTTTCAGAGCTGTTATCTCAAGGGCAGTCCTCGAGAGAGCTCTCTCAGCTCTACCTATCTCATAGGGCAGGGGTGTCAAACATGCGGCCCGGGGGCCAGATCAGGCCCCCGGAGGGCTTCTATTAGGCCTGCAGTGGAATTGGCTGTCTTCTGCTTCTTCTTCCAGTTCTGCTGCTGCTGCATCATCGTAGGTTTGCAGCTTACAGATACACACCTGAACAGCATACTCAAGATTGCAACAGCACAGAAATTTCGATGAAGTAATTCGAAGCAAGAGGTGTCACTTATCAGACACTGTCAAATAAACAAAGTATTGCCAGAGTGCTAATGTTTTAAGCATGTTTTTATTTGTGTTTGTGTCCTTTATAAAGTTTATATCTCCACTACCTGGCATTAGCTTTTATGGCACACATGGCCCGGGCCAACAAGGTCTCATTTATGTCAGATCCAGCCCTCCTAACAAATGAGTTTGACAACCCTGTCATACGGTGTCTGTTGTGGGGAGGGGAAGGGAAAGGAGATCGTATGCCAATCTGAGACTTCTTTGGGTAGTGAAAGGCAGGGTATAAATCCAATCTCCTCCTCCTCCTCCTCCTCCACCACCACCACCAAGGCCCCCATTTTTCCATCCCAGCAACAGCTAAGAGCACCTGGTGTGAGGCCATTCTAGAATCTCCAAGCAAAGGGACCTTGCCAGGACAAAAACCAGGAGTCATTTCCTGCAGGAGCGCTCAGGAGCGGAGCTCCGGCAGTAAAGATTCCAGGGGGTGGGCACATGCAACAAGCCCCACCCCTTGCTCCCAGCAGCCCTCAGTCAGAGCAAGAAGCAGCCAGGTAAGTTGCAGAGTTCCCCTGGCCCCCTGGTCCAAAACTGTCCACTGGCACCTTTAAGTCCAAGTTTTATTCAGGTACAAGCTCTCCCACCTCTGTGAGGACAGATCTGCACTTCCCCCCCCCAATAGCTAGCAATCCAAAACAGTCCATTGGAGCCTGAGCAGTGAGTGTTGCCTTCTGACACACTTCCGGTGATGCCAGGGGGTGTGGAATATGCAAATGAGTTATGCTAATGAGTTATGCTAATAAGCTCCTGTACCTCTTTTTCTACGAAATGACCCCTGACAAAAACAGAGCGGAAGCCACTGAGCGGGACTTAGAAGGCCATCTGGGTTTGTAGATTCGGGCTGCTTCCCGCTTCCCAGGCTAAGGCCTGCCCCGCCCTCTTTTCCCGGAGGCTCCAAATCACAGTAGCCATGCCAAGCTGAGAGCCAGAAGGATTTGAACACGCAACGGTTTAATTCGGCGCAATGCCTCTTTTCCCTCTAGAGCAGCGGTTCTCAACCTGTGGGTCGCGACCCCTTTGGGGGTCGAACGACCCTTTCACAGGGGATGCCTAAGACCAACGGAAAACACATTTTCGATGGTCTTAGGATAGGGCTCCCAATCCTGCCTATCAGATATTTACATTACGGTTCATAACAGTAGCAAAATTACAGTTATGAAGTAGCAACAAAAATAATTTTATGTTTGGGGGTCACCACAACACGAGGAACTGTATTAAAGGACCATTAGGAAGGTTGAGAACCGCTGCTCTAGAGGCTTCTTCAAAGAGAGGCTCCAACTTCCCAAATAAAATGGAATTCAAGCCGGCCAAAGGTTTGATCTCACAACACTTGGCATGACGGAGAATGTTTCTTTCCAAAGGGGCCATTATAGATGGTTACGGCATCTCTGGCACAGCTGATTAGAGATGTGAAGGCCCAGAAAAAAACTGGAAAAATTTGGGGGGAAAAGGTTTTTTTCCATTTTTTTCCTGAAGCCTTTTTTCTTTTTTTCTGAAAAATTGGAAAAATTGAAAAAAGAAAAGGAAAGGAAAAAAATTGATTACGGAACGTTTTATTTTAACATGATGGATAAAATATTTTAAGACAAGGTGTTCAAATATTTTCCAAATCGTTTCTAATATATATATATATATATATATGGTATCAGATTGATGTAATTTCTGTGCACTGAGGACAAGCAAGTCCTAGGTTACACACAGAACTCTCCAATGAAAGAACAAGATGCATTTCTTCCTTTAGGAGATGCGATTGTCTGAAGAAAATAAAAAAGTGTCAGTTTTGTTTTTGCATGTGGGTGGTATTCTGTAATAATTGTTTGGATACACTATATTTTTAATATGCTAGTTGTGATAATTTCATGCCAAGTTAAAATGTCCATAGTCATATTTTATGTTCCTAAAGTAACAGAATGACTTTCAATCTGGAAAAGACAAAAGAAGTGCTAATGTAGCATTTTTTTCAATTTTTCCGAAAATTTCCGTTTCCCCCCGAAAAAAACTGGGGGGGAAAACGTTTTTTCCCCAAGCTTCAAAATTTCCGGAAATTTTACATCTCTACAGCTGATCCCACCAGCTCTGTTGCCAAGCTGGGCCCATCCAGACCTGAGCACAAGCTTGTGGGTCTGGGATAAGGGTCTGGGTCAGTCCTTGGCTGCCACCAGTTCTGGAGAAATTTCCCCTCCCTGAGCAGGGCCTGGCCAGGCCAGACAGCTGAGGGGGTGACAAGATTTTTTGGGGGGTGTAGTCCGAGGAGGGTGGGGGTTTGGGGAGGGGAGGGACCCCAGCGGGGTCTAATGCCACAGAATCCACCATCCAGAGTTGCCATTTTCTCCAGGAGAGTTGACCAGTGTTCCCTCTAAGCTGAGCTAGTGTGAGCCAGCTCACAGTTTTTTAGCCTCCAGCTCACACGTTTTTGCCTTCGCTCAGGAAGGACGGCTCCAGAGCAAATGAATTGATGCAGTAGCCCAATCGCTCGTTCACAACTTTAACGCCAAGTAGCTCACAAAGTAGCATTTTTGCTCACGAGACTCCACAGCTTAGAGGGAACATTGGAGCTGACCGCCACAGTCTGGGGGGGTCAGAGGTAATTCCGGGAGACCCCCAGGCCATACCTGGAGGTTGGCACCCCTACTCGTTGTGCAGCGTAGGAAACAGCACCCTGGACTGGATGGATCTTTGGTCTGAGCGGAGTTTAGACGTGGAGGGCTGGGGAGGGGGGCGTTGTCTCGATTCTTAACAGTGGGCTTCTCTGCTCCCCTCCCCCAATAATTCGCCATTTTATTCGCACCCACGCCTCTTGATTCGTTTCTGCTTGGCTGGATGAGAAGAACTAAGCCCTGACCACCAACGTCGGGCCCCAGATGGTAAGGGATTTATGACCTAGGGCGCGGAGGGCATCTGTGCCACTGCTTCGGCGGTCCCCCAAAAGCCAGCTGGGGGGGAGGGGGGTTTGAGACCTTATTCATAGAATCCTAGAGCTGGAAGGGACCTCCAGGGTCACCCAGTCCAACCCCCCACACAGTGCAGGAAATTCACAGATACCTCCCCCTCCACACACACCCTGCGACCCCGTTTCTATGCCCAGAAGATGACCAAAAAACCCTCCAGGATCCCCGGCCAAGCCAGCCTGGAGAAAAATTGCTTCTGGACCCGAAAGTGGCCATCGGCATTTCCCGGGGCATGTCAGAAAGGGCCATGAGAACTAAGCACTGAGGCAGCAGAAGAAGAAGAAGAGATTGGATGTCTACCCCGCCCTTCACTACCCGAAGGAGTCTCAGAGCGGCTTACAGTCTCCTTTCCCTTCCTCTCCCTGCAACAGACACCCGGTGAGGTAGGTGGGGCTGAGAGAGCTCTCTCGAGGACTGCCCTTGAGAGAACAGCTCTGAGAGAACTTGTGACTGACCCAAGGTCACACCAGCAGCTGCATGTGGAGGAAGAGTGGGGAGTCAAACCCAGTTCTCCCAGATTAGAGTCTGCACTAACCACTATACCAAACTGGCTCTCAAAGGAAAAGGACGCCATTCGCACTTTGTGCAGAAAAATCTCTTGGGCCGACTCCCAATTGTGCTTCCGTGACAAAGTGGGCTGCAACCAGAGCCCCCCTACCCTTTTTGGCAAGGTGGTACAGTCGCCAGACAGCGGCTGGCATCCAGAGGGAGTTTGGGGGAGGGCGCTGTTGGGGGACAGTATGACATCATTTCCGGGGGGACAACCAGAAGTGACATCACACCACTCTAGGAATTGCTGTGAACTCTGTCATAAAACCACAGTGTGTCTGATGATTCCTAGAGCGGCGTGACATCACTCCCAGGTGTCCCCTGGAAGTGATGTAATGACATCACCCGCTGCTGGTTTTTAATGTTTGTTTTCTTCCACCGGCCACATTAGTGCTGATGGGCAACGTGTGTAAAAGGGGGAATCCTATGGGGCAGTCCTGGTGGGGAGGATGTCTCCTAAACTTCCAATAGGGTTGGCCAGGTCCTACTTGGCTGCCTGCGGGGGGACTCCCAATCCTTCCTGGAGTTCTTCATTGGGGATGACGTTCTAGGTTTTGGGCAAAGCTCTATGGTTTTTTGGGCCTCAAAACCATAGAGTTTTGCCCAGAACCTAGAGCGTCACCCCAAATGTCGGAAACACTATAACATCTATATATCTAATAGCCAACTTGCCCCCTCCGTGCGGATACTTAAATCAGCACGGAGGGGGCAGCTGGGGGGCCGGGGAAGGTTTGTGCACACGTGGGCCAGTCCCCACGTGTGCACAAAAATACAAAAAGTTTTTAAAAATTTCGGGGGGATGTTTAAATCCCCCCGAAAGTGCAAGAGCGTCTCCTGCGCATGCGCAGGAGACGCTCTGCAACGCCGCCCACGCCGCCTCGGAGTCAGCCGGCGGGCTGGCAGG